CAGAATGTCTTTTTTTACTGTGTTAATAAATAAATACCTTGTTAATCCAGAATGGCTTTTCCGCTGTGTGATTTTTGTCGAACTTATCGGCCCAGTTTCCCTTGAAATAGATAGCATTCACCAAAACCAGTTTTGTAAGCGAATCAATTATTCCTGGGACAAGCAGATCCTGAATTTTTCCTTTGAAAGTTTTTTTTAAATGTTATAATTAATAGATAAGTTTTCTTTTTTCTTAACATCTCTCTCTCTCTCTCTCTCTCTCACTCCTCTCACTTTCTATTTTTCCTTATTTTAATTTATTTATTAGATTTCTCTTTTCAGGGGCTGAAGATGGAATATAGCTTTTGCTTCCTCAGGGCCATCCATCCATCCACCCTCTTTATATAAGTGCCCATCATTATATATCATTATTTAAGTAAGGTTACAACACATACACAAGTTAACAAGTAAGTTAAATAACTGAAATCTGCTCAGATGTGTCCATTGATAAAACCAAAAATCTATTCTTAGCTAGAATTTCATAGAGGTTTGATGGGCTTTGATGTAGCAAGTAATGGTTAACTATGGTAGATTTGCCTGCCTTGTCTGTCTCACATGCACGCACGATATTGCATGTCTTACTGAATGCAAATACTAAACTCTTATTATCATTCTCACCTGATGTTTTTTCTTCTACCCAGGCATTTATATGTCTTCTCGAATCTTCTGAAGCTTGTTTGAAGTTAAGTTTCTCCAGACCTGCATGGTAGAATTTCTCAGTGGATTCTATAAATGACTTAAGAAACAATGACATCTCAACAACAGAAGCAATAATAAAGACAAGAATAGATTTTGTCTCATTTTTCTATGAACTAACAATCTGGAAACATTATTTATTATGCTGAATACTTCCCTAAAACCGGCCAGTGCCATTGGATAGTTAATACAGCCTAGAAAAAGTATATCAGATATTAGGAACTAGTATAGAATTAACTTTAAGATAACATAGTTTATTCAAAAATATATCTTGAAGTTATGGATCATATGGTTCTATTTATGACTTTTATTTGAAAGTTCCTTCTTTAGGAACATCCTATTGTGTGTTCCTGTCGCATTTCCAGTAAAGTAAGCTAGACTTTGTAATTTCCCCTCTAGATAACTCAATGGACCAAGTAAAATTATAGGAATATTTGGTACTTTATTAGAGCAAAACTGCAATTAGAAACAGAACACAGAGTATATATGGTTTTTTTTCTGCCAGTTATCCAACATGTATGTAACTTACTGTTAGAAAGTCATATGATGTTTCTCCAAAGAGCTGGTTGACTAGACCGAGGCTATAATTGGCACATGGTTTGTTGATATGAGAAATAAGTTCCTGAAATCTTTGGTGAACCTCTACATTGTTGGGTACAGATGGTGCCTATGAGATGATATATGGTTAGTCAAATTAATTTTAACATCAATTCAAAATGTAATTCAACAATAGCAGACCTTGGAAAATCCTACACACTTCAAGCAATCTTATATTCATATTTTGGAGCTAACTTTTTAAAAGGATTACCTGCAAATGTATAGCTTTTAAATTAAGGACTAATGAAAGACAAAGAGGGTTGGGTCTAGTTAATATTTGGGTAATACTTGAACCCTAAGCTTACAGAGGAGTCTGAATTAAAAACAACAACCCTTCCTTAAAGCCAACTGATTCCCTACTGTTGTCAAGGAAACTGATACAGTACGGGTGTCCATAAAGTCCCTAAAAGTTAAGCTTGACCTGTCTTTACTGTGCATGTTTGGACCACTCCATTTTTGAAAGTCCTAGTCATTGATCTCTGAAAATAAATTTGACTGACAGGCAACAGAGATAGAGGATTTTCAGAAATGTTCCTTTCCTGGAAAAATAGATTTCTAAATCACAAAGAACAATCCTTCCATGCATAATATATTTTTATAAAAGCAGAAGGGATGCTCTTGTACCTATTCCAGGTCCAGGTCCCATCTTTATGAAATTGACCAAAAGTTCAGAATTCATACTATATATGCGGCAAGAAATAGGCTTCCTAAAGAAATGCATGTAAGATTCACTAAAAAAAACAATGAAAACAGAAATTTTGCAATGAGTCAGAGATAACCCTTTTAAATATAGAGGAAAAGAGACAGTGGTTCTAAAACAGATCCTGAGAAGAGTCAGAGAAATAAGGAGGGAATATCAATTTCTAACAAAGCAAGTAATTAAAAATTGAATGAACTTCAGGTGGCTGAAACCAGAGGGAATATTGGTGACCTGGATAGAGCAAAGACATAGATTAGATTCCACTGAAAAAGCAGAACAATTTTACGAACACTATTTCGGAGTACAAGAGGAACTGAGAGCAAGAGAGGACGGAGTGATAAAAGAGGACAGACGATAAGACGAAGCTATAGGAGAGAGAAGTGTACAACAAAGAGAAGATGAAAGAGATCTGGAGGAAATAGCAAAGAGAGAAGGAGGAAAGCCAAATAACCAAAAGAGATAAGACTGACTAGAACCATGATGGCGAACCTATGGCATGCATGCCACAGGTGGCATGCAGAGCCATTTGTGCTGGCACGTGAGCCACTGGCAAACTTACCTCACTGCACATGCATGCGCCTCACAGCTGATTTTTGGCTGGTTTGAGGCCTTGTTTAGACTTCCAGAGGCTTGAAAAAAGCCTCTGCAGGATTTGCAGGCTGAATAATAGGCCTGTTTCATCACTTCCTGTAATAACCGGAAGTGATGAAACGGGCCTTTTATTCGTCCAGCAAAGCCTGCAGAAGCTTGTTTCAAGACTCTGGGAGACTGAAAATCAGCTGTGAGATGTAGTGCAGGTAAGGGGGAGGCAGGGGGGATTGCGTGTGCATGCACAAGGTGGGGGGATGCATGCATTGCCTTCTGGGTGCTGGCATGCGAGTGCACGAGTGCAAGCGTGCACACTATTTTTAGCACAGGAGCCCAAAAAGGTTAGCCACCACTGGACTAGAACAACAAAGCCAACCTATAAGTAAAATCATGGAAGAAGAAGTAAAATTAATGTCAATTAACATAAACAGACTGAATTTGACAATAAAAAGAAAAAGGATTTTTAGTAAGTGAATATATTGCTGAGAATACTGTACCTATTGTTCAGTCTGGGAGGATGGGTCCAAGAACGGAGACAAGACTCAGATAGCAACAACAGCTCTTTATTAGTGACTTCAGATCTGAGCGAAATATCCCAGCCGCAGCAGCCCTTTATATAGGGCTGGCTGCGGCTAGGCAGCCAATGACGGCAATTTGAGTTTGCCACGCTTGGTTAGCCCAATCGCGGCAACCCACTAACTAGCCAATCAGATCAGTCTGAGGCGACCAATCACGACCCGCTCCTAGCGGACCAATTTGAATTGCAGGCTTTCAAGCCTGCTAGTCCAGAACACCTATTTCAAACAATTCCAATAAAATTGGGAAAAAATACTTTGAGGAACTTAATAAAATAATATTAAAATACATTTGGCAAGGGAAAAAAAGCAAGAATAAGCTTAAAAATGTTGCAAGGTTCAAGAAATAGAGGAGGCTTTGAATTACCTAATTGGGAATTGTATTACCAGGCAGTGGCATTAACACGGATGAAAGAATGGATTGCATTGAGGCATACAAAATTATTGACTCTGGAGGGACGTGACCTACAACTGGGTAGGCATGCCTTCTTATGGTATGAGAAAAGCAGAATACATGGTTATTTTCAAGGACATTTTATAAGGAATGCATTATTATTAATGCATTATGTTAGTATGGGAGAAAATTAGCGACAACATTATTTAAAGATATCAGTTTGGCTTTCAACAATGGAAGGACTGATAGATTCAAATGTTATTAATATGGGAAATATTGTTAGATATAAAGACATAAATTTTGGTTACACAACAGAATTAGACAAATGACAGAAGCTGTGGAATAGGAACTATAAATTAACGATGCCAACCGCATACAAAGAAAGTTATATAAGATGTCTTATAGATGGCATCTGGTGCTGGCAAGGCTGGCAAAGATGTTTAAAGACAAGTCAGCTAAATATTGGAAATGCTACCAGATACCTGGATCATATTATTATATGTGGTGGACATGTGCAGAGGCAAAAAAAATATTGGACAAAAATACAAATGTGGTTGGAAAAGATGATAATGCAGCATATAGATTTAAAAGCAGAAATATTTTTGTTGGGATTTTGCCCAAAGCTTACAGTAAAGGAAATACATATCATACAAGAAACAATGACATCTCAATAACAAAAGCAGCAATAAAGACTAGAATTGATTTTGCCTCGTTTTTCTATGAACTAACAATCTGGAAACATTATTTTTACGCTGAATACTTCCCTAAAACCAGCCAATGCCACTGGATAGTTAATACAGCCTAGAAAAAGTATATCAGATATTAGGAACTAGTATAGAATTAGCTTTAAGATAACACAGTTTATTCAAAAATATATCTTGAAGTTATGGTTCATAGGGTTCTATTTATGACTTTTATTTGAAAGTTCTTTCTTTAGGAACATTCTGTTGTGTGTTCCTGTAAGATTCCCAGTAAAATCAGTTAGACTTTGTAATTTCTCCTCTAGATAACTCAATGGACCAAGTAAAATTATAGAAATATTCGGTACTTTATTAGAGCCCAACTGCAATTGCAAGGAGATAGGCAAACATGAGAACAAACAGAGCATTTATGGTTCTCCAACATATTTGTAACTTACTGCAAGAAAATCATCTGATGTTTCTCTAAAGGGCTGGTTGAGTGGATTGAGGCTGTAATTGGCATGTGTTTTGTCGATAAGTTTCTCAAATCTTGGATGAACCTGTCCATCGTTGGATACAGAGAGCACCTATATGATGATTTTTGGTTAATCAAATTAAGTTTAACACCAATTCAAAATGTAATTCAACAATAGCAGACCATGGAAAACCTTACACACTTCAAGCGATCTCTACATATTTTGGAGCTAACTTTTTTGAAGGATTACCTGCAGATGTATAGATTCTAAAGTTAAGGGCTAATGAAAGACCAACAGGGCTGGGCCTAGCTAATATTTGGATAGTGCTTGAACCCCAAGCTTACAGAGGAGGCTGAATTAAAAAAACAAAAACTCTTCCTTAAAGCCAACTGATTCCATACTGTTGCCAAGGAAACTGATACAGTACGGGTGTCCATAAATTCCCTAAAAGTTAAGCTTGACCTGACTTTACTATGTTTGGACCTCTCCATGTTTGAAAGTCCTAGTCATTGATCTCCTCTGAAAAACAATTTGACTGACAAGCAAGAGAGATACAGGATTTTCAGAAATGTTCCTTTCCTGGAAAAATAGATTTCTAAATCACAAAGAGCAATCCCTCCATGGATAAAATATTTTTAAAGCAGAAGGTACATTCTTGTACTTGCTATAGGAGCCATGTTTAAAACAGTGCCATGTTTTTCCTTCTCTATCACAATATTTGCTCTCTGAAACCATTTCGGCTCAGAGATTCAAGTTCCGCGGACTATGCCATCCTTCAAAAGGGCCTTGAAGAACTGGCTTTTCTCCCTAGGTGCAGAGCTAAGAAGCATCCCCCTTGACTGGATTCTGTTGGGTAGGCCTGTATCATTGTCTTCTTTTATTGTATTAGTTTTTTATTGTATTAGACTTATTTTTAATTCATAATGACTCTGAGTGGTCTCTATATTTGAAAAATAAATGAATGCTATGGGTATCCTGGATTGAAGCACAAATATTTGCCAGAACCAAGATTCTGTGTCCATCTCTCTGTTCCCCAAGTTTGGAGTTCCATTTATTTAAAAGAAAGTGAAATCAATTTTAGCACTTAAACTGGATGTGGTATTTTTTTTCCTATCACAGGATATCATTAAATTGTCTTGATTTTGGGGTAATTGTCTGAAATAATACTGTCTGCTAAGAGCTGTGGTGGCGCAGTGGTTAGAACGCAGTATTGCAGGCTAACTCACTGCTCACGTCAGGAGTTCGATTCTGAACGGCTCAAGGTTGATTCAGCCTTCCATTCTTCCGAGGTTGGTAAAATGAGGAGCCAGATTGTTGAGGGCAATATGCTGACTCTGTAAACTGCTTAGAGAAGGCCGTAAAGCATTGGGAAGCGGTATATAAGTCTTAGTGCTATTTCTATTTCCATAATTAGCTATTGCCATAATGGTTTTGAAGAAGTCAAGCGCAGAGGCCTGAATCCTTAACAGACTTCCTATGCATGCTGTTTACATTCCAAGCAACTAGGAGCTGCTCCCATCCTCATGCAAACAGAATCCCAAATCTGGATGAGAATGGGGAGCAGATTTAAAGAATCTCGATAACATTGGCATCTCTTGCGCTAGCTGCATTTTTCAAAAGCTAAGCGGAAAGTTGGCAACTCTATGAACTGCATCATTTTAGGAGTGTAGCCAGGTGTACTTGGAACTTTTTAGACCAAATGATGGATTAACCACCCACAGTTGCATGAGTGCAAAATAGGCATCATGTGAATTTAATAAATAAATAACATAGATCTTCTCATAATTGGCTAGCAAGGGTGGGGGCCACCTCACAGCCAACCCTTTTCTTCCCTTTTTGATAAAATGTATCTTGATATACCTTTAATATCTGAGCTTCTGTGTTATTTCTGGCACCCAACAAGACCATAAGCAGTGAAGAAATTATACTGACAGGAGAATAAAGCAAGTTGTCGGAAGGATCATTTGCACTAAGCTCTTTGAAGACATTGACGGCAAACTTGGTGTTTCCCTCAAAACGGCTGCCCATGTTTTCGAGCCTGGAGAACAAATATAGTATGATAAACCATAGATTAACTCCTAGACAATGAGATGACCAAAACATCCCAACCATGTTCTACTTGACCGTTCTACTTGACCAATTATTCTACTTGCTTTAAGGAGTGTGATTTACAGAACCTAGTGGACAAAATATAAGGGAAGTATGAGCCCCACTTCCAGATTCATATATACACTGCTCAAAAAAAATAAAGGGAATACTTAAATAACACAGCTAGGACCCCTGACCACTCTTGATTTGTACCCTCAAGTCACCAGCCTACTCTTATGCTCAGATGCACGTAGACCTGAGGTGGTATTCAGCAGGTTCCGTCCAGTTCTGGAGAACCAGTAGCAGAAATTTTGAGTAGTTTGGAAACCCTGTCAATACCACCTTGACTGGAGATTTTACAGTATCATTCCTCTGCCATGCCCACCAAACCACACCCACAGAATCAGTAGTAAAAAAAAAAAAGAATCTCACAACTGAATTAGACAAGTAACAGCACATGCTGCATATGTTAGCCATAAATTTCAGCAGATCCATTAGCCTGGTGTGCCTGGCACAAATAGAACCTAAGGCAGAAAGGTAGACTCTATACTTTATTTATATACACAAGCAAAGAGGGCACCTCATCCAAGAGAGGAGCAGCTTAGAAAGGTAGAGAATCACTTTATATACAATTCAAAAATATTGAGTTTTGAGTGAGTTCTTTCATTGGTTAATGTCATTCGACATATCTCTGATGGAGCACACATGCTCCGTAACTCTGATATGTAGCATATAGAATACCACAGCATCCCATAATATGCTTAACATGCCCCAAAGGTGCCTTTTCAGAAGGCAACTGGGCTTTGTTTTGCTTGAAGATGTTTCGCTTCTCATACAAGAAACTTTTTCAGTTTGGTAACTAAATTGAAGAAGTTTCTTGGATGAGAAGTGAAACATATTCAAAGCAAAATAAAGCCCAGTTGCCTTTTGAAAAAGCACCTTTGGGACAGCCATCACACGGATGACTGAGAAACTCCATAGATATTCTTAGTATGATTGTAGGAGATGAACAGGCTCAACTGGAAGGTGTAGTTAAACACACCATCAGTTCAGAGTCATTGAACAGTCTCAAGGGACCCAAGTCTAGTTCCCCATGAATTTCATTGACCTTTATTCTAGCACCAATTTAGCTTGGTGCACAGCCATGAGGGATCCAAGTCCAACCCCTCTTGAATTCCATTGACCCTTTTCTAGCACCAATGTAGCTTTACATTCTTGCGTATACATGGCAAGAATAACCTCTTAGTGCTTTGAATTCAATTCCTGTTCCTGATTATTTGTGCCTAACATCAACCTTGGTAATGCTCATCTTCATATTCAGGAGATGTGGTCTTTATATCATAATGAGTTGGCAAGTAATGAAAGTCAATATCCTGGATGGTTTGAACCAGTTCTCTTGTCAGCCTGTACTTGGCTTTCTATGTTCCTTCAAAAATCAGAAACATTTATCGAAGAAACTCCTAGTGATTGAAAACATGAATCAAATCCCTCCTCCCATGCTGTTGCCATCACACACAAAGTTTTCCGGTGCAATACAGCTAAAAATAATTCTAGAATAGAATCATTTATCACAATTGATTGAAAATAAAAACTTTAAAGTAGCAATTACTGGGGCTGGCTTGGTTCTTCCTGTATTTAAAAAAAATGACTGATAACATTGTCAAAAATAAGGAACAGTATTGTGAGAAATAGAACAAAACAGTAAATAGATAGTCATGCGCTGTGTCTATGTAAATTTTATTTATATGCAGTATTTATGTCAGAAGTACTCTCTTCCTTTATTTTTTGGCTTGGTTACACGACAATAGCACTTAGACTTACACTATATACCACTTCATACACTCTCTAAGCAGTTTACAAAGCCCCCAACAATCTGATTTCTCGTTTTACATTATAAGGAATCTAATTATTCACTACTAATTTCACTACTAGGTAATAATTCATTTTTTATTATTATTAATAAAGTGTGCCCTGCTATGTTATGAATTTTTAAGGTATGATGCAAAATTTCCCAGTCATCTCAGCTCAATCCTTTTGCATGTGTGAGAACACCTGCTATTGCCTAGAAGGGAGAAAACTTTGGGGGAATGGTGAATATGGCAGCCAGATACTGTAACCGCCAAAAATGATAATGGATTATCTCTCACATTGCTAATACCTTACAATGTCTTTTACATTGCTGGTTCTTCTACCAGATTTTATTCTCTTAAGTGGATGTATAGAGCTTACTGATTTCTCTTTGGCTGTATTACAGAATTTGCCATGCTGTGATGGAGAGAGAGGGGAAGCAACACCCGCCAGCCTTTTTATGCACCTTGCCATATTCAGTACTAAAATAATGGATTTAATTTAATGGACGTTTGGCTCAAATAGATATCCTTTCCATCCTATTAATCCAATACATAACTTTTTAACCTAGAGGTCGCCATTGACTTCCAACTGTCCACTCAATGAAGTTAGAACAGTCCTCCCCAGAGCTACTTATCACGTGGTTTCAGAGTTAAGGTAGCCAGGCATACATCTTGTGATCATGTGACTGTATTTGGGGCACTTGGCAACTGACTCACCTTTATGGCTATTTGCAGCATCTCATTGCTCCATGACCACAATTTGCAACTTTCTTGTTTTCCAGTTTCCAGCATTCACTTCCAGTTTCCAGCAAAAAATGCCCATTGGAAAAAATGGATTTCCTTAACAACCACATGTTCACTTAATGACCATCATAATAACTATCATACCATAGAATCTGGTCACATGATACCACAACTTATGATTGCAAAAACATCATTCTGTGCTAGATTACAGACAAGGACTACCTGAAATCCAATTTGGGTATAACTGAGGAATTCCAGATACATGGGAGATGAATAATATAAACCTTTTGACCACATGGTTGGCAGCAGAGGGGGGGGGGGGTAGTGGAAGGGTTTGTGCATTCAGTCTAATCCTGTTCATGTGCAAATAAAGCTTTGTATGCTTGTCTGCCTTTTGTGGGCCCAGTTCCCAAAGGTCCATGGACTGGTACAGGCCACAGAGCAGGCCTTGGGGACACCTGATGTAAAGAGTCTATCATCATACCAGCTCTTAATAAATCTGAAAGCAACATGCTCTTTTATTTCAATTTTGTTTACGTGAAATACTGCAGCAAAATAAGACTATTATACACAAACACACACATACACATTTACATTAACTTCCTACTCGATCTTTGGAATGCATCAGTATTGCCTAAGATACCCTTAGATTATATGTATTAGGTACTATAAATGTTCATTTCAAAAGAAAATTAGAAGTAACTAGAGACATAGGCCTTTTTCTAGTCAAATAGGGCAACTCATTCCTTTGAACTCAGATCAACGTCTGTTTCATAGCAACCTTCCTACAACTAGGCTGACTGGAATATTAAGCAAACAGATATTTATGGTAAAAGAAGAAACAAAAAGAAAGAGGATTAAAAAGAATTCGGTAAAGAGAAGCTAAAGGTGTCTTTAAAGTAATAAATTCTTGAAAAGTACATTATTTCATCCTAACCTAATGAGCCATTTAGGAGAATTTTAAATTATTGATGATACTATATTTGAGACTATATGTTAAATTCTACCAACAATAAGACTTTAGTTTTGCCTTCCAAGAAGTCCACTGTGGCTTCCACTAAATTTCTATTACTTTTCTGTTGTTCAAGAAAATTTCTATTTCTTCTCTGCAAATAGTGTAGTCAAGAATTCTTTGCAAAAACTGGAAGCTACCTTCCATATTAGAAAAGAATACCAATCCTAAACAGTAGTCTTGCCAGCTTGTATCAGTCAGAATAGGAAAGTAGTAACTTTATTAAGTTTTTCATCCTGCCAGTTTTGGGGGTGTTCCCCCATTCAATGCAACGATAGAGCGGTTCCGTCAGGACACCAGGATGGAGAATCCCAACCAGGCAGCAGGTCACAAACTGTCAATCAGCCCTAAGGTGAGACAATGTCAATCTCACCTGTGGTACCTGCAGGAATTAGAACAAGACAGAGAGAAACATACAATGCTTATACCTTGGAGAGGTAGGGTTCGGAGCTTCTAGGGCAGTTGCTGGAGACATCTGGCTGGAGAGAAATGCTGACAAAGCTGCAATAAATCCTGGAAGAAGCAAAATGAGCATTTTGGGGGTACTCTCCTCCCTGGTTTGACTCAACAGCCGCCAGGCACAACGTCTCTCCATAGACAATGGAGATCACTAGTTAGAGAAAAAGGAAGAGTCCAGAAGGGCAAGGGAGGAATTTGGAGGTAGAGAGGTGGAAGTTCATCACTATCTCTTAAAGTTCCTGGAAGTGGCCCTTTAAACAGTCACAGTCTCCCTTGGACCTCTAATGTGAGATTCCAATGTCCCAGCTAAAACAACAGACAGGAGACACTGTCAACAAGTCCAGGATTTCTTGAGAGTTGTGCAAAAGACAGAACTTAGTCCCCTTCTGGGCAGAGGGACCAAGGCAATTGAACAGATGATTTCACATATTTTGATACACATCATCACTCACCACCTCCCACCTTCTCTGCTGCCCCACTGGCTAAAATTGTTGAAATTAATAATGGATGATTTTAGGATGATTTTTAAAATTATGCCTGGGTTCACAATCTAACCATAGTGATATGCTTAACAATTAATCATTTACTTATCATTTGTTCAGCAGTTGCTACATCCTGCTCTGTTTACTAACTGGCTTCTCTTCTGTGTCAACTTTTGCTTAAACGTATGCTGAAAGGATTCCATCTCATTAGCACTTCTGTCTTTGTTAATCTTTCACTGGGGTTTTTTAAGGTTATATAGAAGAGAAACATATAGAAGGGAAATATGTTGATCCTTTTACATTTTTTATTTTACAGGAATAATTATTTCTTCTTCTTTTACTTCTCACATCTAATAAACAGAAATACACCATTGCAACATAATTTCTGGCTATCTTAATAAACCTATTCTATAGTTGGCAGGAAAGCCGGCAGCTACTAATCATAATTTTATATATAAGTGGTTACACTTAAAAAAAAATCAAATTAAATTATTAAAAATAGTGCCACACTGTCCAGAGATTTGCAATAAACATATCCTAGCAGCTTTTGACTAATCTTGAAGAGTTAAGCAGGATGAATCCTGGAGACCACTGGGAAATTGCAGGGATAGTCTGAGATAAGAGGAAAACATCCTGGAAGAAGGCGGGATTGAAGTATTTGTACATAATGCCAAGGAAGCTAAATGGATCTTTCCATCCAGAAGTTAGACTCTCCTGGGGTATATTATTTTAATTATTTTTATTCCACCTTTATTATTTTTTATAAATAACTTTAGGTACCAAATGGACTTTATGCTTCTTCCTCCTCTAGTTTCCTGCATAACATGCAGAGCAGGGATGTCAAACTGGAGGCCCTTGGGCCAGATGTGTCACGTACAGGCCACACCTACCACAGCTCTACGAAGGGGGAAAGTGTTGCAAAAAGTCACATGATGGCAATGTTACGTACAAGCTCAGAACACGGCTCTCAGTGCATTGAAGAATCTAAACTAGAAGTCTGAAGGCACAATGGGAGCAAATCAGATGGTAAAT